TTTTTTTTTTTTTTTACTGAAGAAGTAAAACAAAGTAGAAGGTCTCCCACTCCTGGATCTAAAAACCTGGTATTGGTATGATAGACACAAAGACTAGTGGAATAGAATTGAGAGTTCAGAAGTAGATCCATTCACTGTGGTCAGCTGATCTTTGACAAAGGGCCAGACCCCATTCAATGGAGAAGAGATAGTCTCTTCAAGAAATGGTGCTTTGCAGAAAAATGAGACAAGATCCATACCTTACACCATACACAAAAGTGAACTCAAGATGGATCAAAGACCTAAATGTAAAACCCAAAACTATAAAGTTCATCAAAGATAAAATAGGGACAAACTTAGGAGCGCTAATTTATGGTACAAACAGACTATTAAGCATAAAATGCACAAATAGCAGTAGAGGAGTAGGGCCTTCTGAAAATTAAAAATTCTTAATAGTACATCAAAAGACTTCTCCAAAAGAGTAAAAAGAGAACCTACACATTGGGAAAAAATATTTGGCAATGACATATCTGGCAAGGGACTTATCTCTAAAATTTACAGAAAACTTCAACACCTCAACATCAAAAAGACAATCCAAAAACAGGGAAGAGATATGAACAGACACTTCACCAAAGATACTCAGGCAGCCAAATGAAGAAATGCTCAAGATCACTAGCTACTAGAGAGATGCAAATCAAAACAGCAGTTGAGGTATCATCTCATTCCAGCAATAGTAGCAGAGTTCAATAGGACAGAAAACAAACATTGGCAAGGGTGTGGAGAGATTGGAACTCTCATATACTGCTGGTGGGACTGTAAAATGATGCAACCACTGTGGAAAACAGTGTAGTGCTTCTTAAAAAGTTAGAAATAGAAATAACATTTGATCTAGCAATTCTATTACTAGGAATTTTTCAGAAAGAGGTGAGACCCAGGACAAGAACAGATAAGTACACACCCATGTTCATTGTAGCACTGTTGTAGCAAAGAGAAGGAAACAACCTAAGTTCCCATCAGTAGATGAATGGATAACCAAACTATGGTACATACACACAATGAAATACTATGCAGCATTAATAATGAAGAATCAGCAAATCACCTCATAATGTGGATGAACTTGGGGGACACTATGCTGAGTGAAATAAGTCACTCATAAAAGGACAAATACCGTATGAGTCCATTATTGTAAAAAGTCAAGGAAAGGTTTACACAAGGAAGGAAATTTTCTTTGTTGGTTACCAAGGATGGGGAAGAGAGGGAAAATAGATGGATAATTAGTTTTTGGATAATATAGTTTTGATGTTAGGTGAATATGTTAGGTTAATATAGTTAGATGGATAATATAGTTTTGATATAGGTGAAAGCATTTTAAAAAATAATAGTAACAATAAAGGGTGTTATCAGTTAAGTTATATTGAAGTAGAGTGGGTCCTAATTCAGTGTGAGTGGTGTCCTATAAAAGAGAAGAGATACAGAGGCAAGCAGAAGACAGACAGCCATGCCATGTGACTGCTGAATTATGCTGCAGCTGCAAGCCAAAGAACAGCACAGGCTGCCAGAAGCTGAGAGAGAAGAAAGGCCCTTCCCCTGGACATTCAGAGGGGACAGTCCCCTGCCACCGTTCTGAGTACAGGCTTCTGGCCTCCAGAGCTCTGAGGCAATACGTAGCTGTTCTTCTAAAACAAAACAAAACAAAACAAAAAAAAGTTCGTTTGTTCTTAATGTTGATAATAATGGCAGTGATATTAACTGAGTGCTTACCACTGGGCAACCACTGTGAGTCTTTTTTAATTCACATTTTACAAATGATGTAAAACATCATTTGTAACAGGTGAGGAGAGGTCAAGTGACTTACTAGTCAAGGACACACAGTTAAATTGTGTTTGAGCTAGAATTTGTATCCAAGTCCCACTCTCATTCCAGAGTTGACACTTTAAACCATTACACTGATCACTGTTCATTAATGAAAAGAACTAGAAATAAGACCTATGTCTAATAAATGGATTCCATGGACTTCTCTGTAGTCCATGTAATCATTAAAATCCATGTTTTCAGAAATGAGATTTCTTAAGTAGAAAAAGCACATAGTGCAATATGTACGTAGAACAATAATGATTTCTAATCTTGTCTTCATATGCAAATCTCCTGAGAAACTTCAAATAAATAAATAAATAAATAAATAACAACCCTGAGTTGTGTGTCTCAGTCACAGGCTGTGATTTAATTGATTTAATTATGGGTTTAGGATGTGGCCTGAACTTTGAAATTTTTTTAAAAAAGATCTTTAGATCATTATAATGTTTAGAGTAGTTTGGGGACCAATAGCTTAGAGTATAATCCCATTTTCAAAACGTACACATACACATAGGGAAAGGATTGGAAAGATATGCCTGAAAACGCTGCCAGCTTCTCTATTGTAGCGCACTGGTTAGATGCTCAGCTGCTAAATGGAAAGGTTGGCGTAGTTCAGACCTGTGAGAAAGAAGACCTGCTGATCTGCTCCCGGAAAGATAACAGCCTGGGAAACACTATGGCTCAGTTCTGCTGTGTCGTATAGGGTCTGCTAGCAGCTGACACCAACTGACACCAACTGTAAAAACGGCAAGGAGGCCACATGTTCTGACCTCCTCTAATCTCATAGGAGAAAGACAGCAGTAACCCAAGGCCTATTACTGCAAGGTCAAACATGCTGCCTCCCTCCAGCCCTTTCACCAACCGTTCCTCCCAAAGCACCCACCACCTCTCTCCTGGGTTCGATAATTCGCTGCAGTGGCCACACAGAACTCACAGATTACAGGGTTTATTAGGGAAGCACCAGGCTACAACTCAAGTTCAGAAAGAACGCTCAGTCTCTCTCCCAGCCCACCGTCTCTCAGACAAGAGTTTCTCGCAGTCTCTTTCCCAGCAGTGCTGGTCCCTCGGTGTCTCACTCAGCAATGTGTCTCTCTTGCGTTTCTTTCCCAGCAACGTGTGTCTCAGGAGCCTGTGTCTCTTTCAGCAGCACATCTTCCTCAACCAGCAGTCAGAGAGAGTTGTGCCTCCAGGAGACCTCCTTCTGAGCCCAGCAGGGTGGCCAAACTAGCCAGTCATAGCATCAGAACTCTAAGCACATGAGAGAGAGTGGGCACCTCCTAGAACATTGTATTGTGCCACGCCCAACAGAAATAACCCAGGTGGATAGCTTCAGCAATCAGGAGATCCTCAGTTGCTTATAGAAAATCCCACCTTGGAGTTTACAAAGACTTATGGGTAGAAAAGCCACACTAAGCAATTTACTACACTGCAGGGTCCTTATGAGTTGGAATTGACTTGATAGCACACAACAATAACATCTCTTAGAAGTTCGGTTTTTTTTTTTTTTCGTTTTGCTTATCTGGATTTTCAGAAATTTTATTTTGAATTTATAAGAAATTCATTAGCTCGCTCTCCTCGCTAACGGAATGGTGACGACCTTCTTCCTCTTGCGTTTAGCTTTTGCGAGAATTGAAGCACCCAAACGTGATTGCGCTGCAGAAGGTGTTCCTTTCTCACAGTGACCGGAAGGTGTGGCTGCTGTTTGATTATGCAGAGCATGATTTGTGGGTAAGTCTGCATCACTATATTTTTTGCATTATTCTGTGCAGGTGTGGAGACATGCATGTGTGCGATACATATTACTGATTCAAAGTAAGAAAAGTTTACTCTGGTCAGAATAAGTGCATAAATAAATATAATAAAGGTAAATTTTTACAAAATGAGCAATAAACATTAACATCTTAATTTTACTGGGAATATAGTATGGTGAAGCCTGTGAGAGCCAGAACTCAGTGGAACTGCCTTATTTTTCTAAGTCTTGTAAATTTTCCACCTTTGAAAGGGTGCAGTCTTAACCACTCTTTAATTGTTATCTATTAGTAGGAAATATTTTGAGTTTTCCTTTGCTGACAGGTTTCTGCCTTACATAGGTTCTATCTTTTGCAGGTTTTACTGTATTTGTAATATTCAGAAATTTCACTTTAGAAAATTTTAATGAGTAGGAGATTGTAATTTTATGTAAGTAATTAATTGTGATTTACTAATATATGTAGTGAAAATTGCTTTCTTTTGTGGTACATACAGTAGTTCAAATTTAGCTAGTTATGTATTTGTGGATAGTTTCTCTTTCTAAGTTAAGGTCAACCTGTTGCAGTATTTTGCCATTGAAAAGCGGCTCTACCAAATAGAAGGATGCACATATGGTTTTATGTATTTTAAGAATGTTTTATCAGTATATGAAGGAAGCAAAAATTTCTGATTCCTAACTTTTTAAATTAGTAATCAGCACATCAAACATTTTGTCAGAGGAATTGCTAAAAGTGAAAAATAAAATCATGGTTGGCAATATGTTCAAATTAGGGATAACTAAATTTTGATTCAATATTGTATGGTTTGTCATCTATGTAAATTGCAAATCTGTTTAAAAGACTCGTAAGTCTGGAAGGAACTTTCTGAGTTTACGCTATTACTGCAAATATTTATAAGAAACTCCAGTTTGTTTTTCTCAGTTCTTTGATATCCACGAATCATTGCATTGCCCCCATTTTTCTTGGTCGATAGTTCTACCTAGGTTTACTTAATAATGTGTCGACTTCACTTTGAACATCAGTGATGCAATGAATTGCCTCAAAGAAGATGTAGCACATTGGAGTGGTCAGATCCTATAGAACCAGGCTGTCCAATTTGGTGGCCTCTAGCCACATGTGAGGAGCCCTGTGGCATAACAGTTTAGTGCTTGGCTGCTAACCGAAAGGTTGGCAGTCTGAGCCCACCCAGCAACCCCACAGAAGAAAGTCTTTTTTTTTTTTTTATTATCCAAACCAAAACTCACTGTTGTTGAGTTGATTCCGATTCGTAGCAACCCTATAGAACTGCCCCATAGGGTTTCCAAGACTGTAATCTTTACGGAAGCAGACTGCTGCATCTTTCTCCTGCAGAGCAGCTAGTGGGTTTGAACCACTGAACTTTCAGTTAGCAGTCAAGTGCTTAACCACTATGCCACTAGGGCTCGCTATGGGTCAGTTCTGCTCTGTTACCTGGGCTTGCTTTGAGTCGAAAATCAACTTGCACCTAAAGACAACAGCCACTCTGGTCAGAATAAGTGCATAAATAAATATAATAAATGTAAAGTTTTTAAAAATGAGCAATAAACATTAACATCTTAATTTTACTGTGGCTGTTGGGCACTTACAATGTAGTTGGTCTAAATTGAGATATGCCGTCAATGTAAAATACAGACTGTTGATTACATGTTGAGATGATAGTATTTTAGAAATATTGGGCTAATTAAAATGTTAGAATTAATTTTAAATGTTTATTTTTCTTTTTAATGTAACTTTTAAAAAATTAAACTTACATTTGTGGCTCCCAACATATTTGTATTAGTTAACTCTAATATAAATCCAACTTTCCTATTATTTCTTAAAATCAAGTGAACTGTTTAACACTTTATAAAAATTCAGATTGTGTAGCTAGCTTAATAGTTTTTCACTACCATCTGGCCATTTTAAGGCTAATAATGAGTACTGTTGAAAGAGCCCTGGTTGTGCAGTAGTTAAAGTGGTTAGCTGCTAACCGAAAGATCTGCCATTTGAATTCACCAGCTGCTCTGTGGAAGAAAGGTGTGGCCGTCAGCTACCATAAAGATTATAGCCTTAGAAACCCCGTGGGACAGTTCTACTCTGCCTGGGACGTTGTTAGGAGTCAGAATTGGCTCTTCTACAGGAGTTCTGGTAGCATAGTGCCTAAGGCACATGACTGCTAACCAGAAGGCTGGCGGGTTCAAACCCACCAGCCACTCCTCGGAAGGAAGGTTGGTCAATCTACTTCTGCAGTGATACCTCCTCGGAAACCCCGAGGGGTTGCTATGAGTCAGGGCCGACTTGACACATAACAAAAACAACAACAGTGGGTTTGGGTTTTTGGTTGAGAGTACTGTTGACAGCTTCACCAGTATTGTTCGAGGCTCTCAGCACTAACTTTGTCGTGTTTTGAAGTGGAGGTTAAGGGTGGCATATGAGGGGAGATAGGTAACATTTCTTCCTTTTCATTTCATTGTTTGTAATCCACAGTATAGCATATTGCATAAATATTTGAATGTGGTGGTTCTGTTTCCAGTTGTATTTATTTAGTGGCATTACTCTCCTTCCTCCTTTCTGATGATTTCTTGTTTAATATTAACCATTAGGAATATATCCTAATTGATTTTGTGCCAAAAGAAGGTAGAATTTGCCCTTTAATCCCAGTACACGCACATAGTTGATGATGTTACTCAAATGCACTAAGTGCTCTCTAACTTTTTAAAGAATGGTAAAGATTTATGGTAGTTTTGTTTTGCATGTTTTTTCTCTTCTTTCCTTCTGACAGTAGAGAATACTCCTGGTTCTTTTGACCAAGTTAGATACTTGATGGTCTGTTTGTGAAGGTGGGCCTGGGAGTGGGGAAGTGGGGGAGAACAGGCACAAGTTCTACAGATTTTGAATGTATTTTGAAACGATAAGAGTGATTCAATTAAGAAGTTATGACAAGGGACCTCTGAATCAATTGCCTAAAAATAATCTTTGGGCCTTGAATCAAAACTGCCCCATGAAGCCGTCAGTTGAACTAAATAGCAGTTCGGCCTGATTGGTGAAGTATGTTTGCCTTGAGTGTTGTATTATTGTAAAGAATTCTGGATTCAAGCTGAGAGCAGTTCATCTAAAGCACAGACAGGAACTTTAGGAGGCAGAGGTATGAACAATGTAAGTAGAGATAGTGAGATGGGTGACACACTGTGCAGCGTGTAGCCCATGTCATTGAACTGTGCATTTAGAAATTGTGAGCAGCCGTATGTTTGGTTGTGCATAGTATTACCAAAAATAAATTTTAAAAAAGCAAGATATAACAATAAAACTTTTTTTAAAAAGTTACTGTAAATAACAGGAGGCAAATATTTATTTGTAAAGTATTTTCTTGCCTTAAACTCTCACATCTGAACTTGTTCCTTTGAACTGATGAAAGAACTCATGAAAGAAAAATTTATAGAATTTCACATCTAGTTTCTGTTTTTAGGTCAATTAATCTCTGTTTTTAGGCAGGCTTTTAACATGAACTCTTTTATATTAAAATCTTAAGCAAATCTAGTCACTATACCCCTCATTAACATAACCACATTTATCACAAAAGTACAGTTTTGGTTGACCTTATTATTCAAATGGGAGCTCTGGTAGCATAGTGCCTAAAGCACTTGACTGCTAACCAGAAGGCTGGCAGTTCAAACCCACCAGCCACTCCTCGGAAGGAAGATGGGGCAGTCTACTTCCGTAGTGATACTGCCTTGGAAACCCAAGGAGGGGTCGATATGAGTCAGGTCTGACTCGACGGCACATAACAACAACAACAACATTATTGAAATTACTTTTCTTTTTGTCATCATTGTAATAAGTAATTTTAAATACAGATAATTTACTGTGTTGTGTTTTATAGCATAGATATTTAGCAGTGACTATATATTATTATAGTATGTTTTATTTTTTTCAATTTCTAGCATATTATTAAGTTTCACCGTGCGTCAAAAGCAAATAAAAAGCCCATGCAGTTGCCAAGATCCATGGTTAAATCATTGCTTTACCAGATTCTCGATGGTATCCATTACCTCCATGCAAATTGGGTGCTTCACAGAGACCTGGTAAGTATGTTTTTTTAAAATTGATCCATATGTTCCCCCCACTTTTTTTAAAACAGTGTTTCTTAGTACAATTACAGTAAAACATTAATTATTGAAAATTTTGGAACTGTACAAACAAAAAAGAAGGAAGTAGAAATCACCCACAAATCTACAATCTAACCATTATTAACATTTGGTCTATATCCTTTCATTATATTTATGCATAGGTACAAAATGTCAGTGTACATTTAAACAAATGATTAGCATTATTTTAATGGGGCAATCATATGTGAAATAAGTACCTGTTTTTGTTTTTCATTCTTCCCGTTGCTGTCACTCGTCATTGGTAAAAATGTTAATAATTAAAGACTGAGTTCTTACTGTTTGTGTCCTCTAGATCTAAACTGAAATAATGGCATTGCATCTGGTAAAAAGAATGTTATTATCAGTATTAGCAGTAAATAAATGAACAAATAAATCTAATAGTGGAATATACTTACGTTCTGGTTACCTAGTGTACTCTGACAGGAAATATACCACAAATGGGATGACCTTAACAAACAGGAGTCTATTCTCTCACAGTTTGGAAGCTTTAAGTCCAAGTTCAAAGTGCCAGGTTCTAGGGCCTGGGTGAAAGCCCCTCAACCTTGGGGTCTAGTTCTGCCTCCTGCTCCCAGCCCACTGGAGCTAGAGGCGTTTCTTCACTCAGACAACTGCTAGCTGCTGACGCTGACAAACCCAAGGTTGACAAATAAAAAGGCACAGTCCCAATGTTACCAAACCACATGGCAGGCCATTAATTTAAGTCCATTGTAAGTCCCAAGGTCGGCAGAACATGGCAGGCTGCTGAACAACAACACAGCTGCGTGCAGGGTTCAAGCGTGCCATTAACTAGAGACTATCTCCAAGTCTTCTGCTTACGTACAGGAAGCAGACCACATCCCAAAGGCAGCTACTCAGCTGCTTGTCGTAGATCCCACCGTGGAGTTGATTGCCAGGCTCATCATAAGTATACATATAACAAACATTTGTTAATATCAAATTATATGCCAGATATTCATCTTTACATTGTTGTCATTTATATTGATAAGATTTTTTAATGAGACATGGGTATTGAATAGCTATAATCCATATGAATTAAAATTGTCAGTTTCATTTTCGTCCCCAAAGTAGTTTCATGAGCGTTTATTTCTAAATTACAGAGATATGATAGACATATATCTAGATTGATAGCAGTTTTTTTTTAACTGGAGAGAAGTATTTATTATAGGAAGGAATGAATGCTTAAAGAGATCTAGTTAGTACCTCTTGGTCCATTGTCGTCAGTCAGGCCTAGTTATCTGGCTTGATCACCTCTTATTATGACAGTGAAGTTACATTTGGCCAAAAAGACAACACTAAAGATGCATTTACCTTTTCAGTGAAAACATATCATGTTATAATTTTCAACTATAACGTTCTGAAAGATTTCTAAGTATTATTCACCATGAATCAGCACTTTAAAAATAATTCTAGATGCATGAGGTTTTTCTAGATCAAGAGAAAATATCATTCATAAATAGGCTTTTACTGTTTATTTTGTTAGACACTTAATGTAAGTCATGTGAGTTATATTTTTGAAATCACAGTCATGTTTGAATCATTGATCAAAATCATTTATTGAGGATTAACTAATCTGAATTTTTCTTTTATTCACAAAATTTTATCTTTTGTTATAGTCAGCATAGTTTAATATATTTTAGTTAATGTTGTCACCTGACTGTCCACTGGAACTAAAACTCAGTATGACCAGACTCATTTTTCTTCCATCCAAATCTGCTCTTTTACTGCCCTGGTGGTATAGTGGTTAAAGCCTTGGGCTGCTCCACAGGTAAAAGATGAGGCAGTCTGCTTCCATAAAGATTTATAAACCCTTGGAAACTGTATGAGGCACTTATACTCTGTCCTAAAAGGGTCAGTGGGGGTCAGAATTGACTCCACGGCAGTAGGTTAGGTTTTGTTTTTTTTCTTTCATTGTTTTGGGATGGTACTCCGCTCCTCCAGCTTGGAAGCTTATTTTATCCCTGCAGACCTTTCTTTGCACTCCACACCCAGAACTTGCCAAGTCTTGTCAGTTTCATGTTTAAAATATCTGTTCATCTATTTCCATCCCCAGTGCCTCCTTCCTAGTTCAGAGTTTATTACCTCTTTCTTGGATTATGGTGCTATTCTAACTTGTCTCCTTGTCAGCAGTCTCTTACCCTCCAGTCCATTTTTGACCTTCTGACTAATTTATTCACCTGCTGCTCAAGAACATTGAAATAGCTCCTAATTGCTTGCACATTATGACTCTCTAGTTCCTTTCTGGCTTCTAGAGTCTTACCAGACACAGTTTCAACTGCCTTTTCTGATTTTCTTTATCCCCAATATAGATCCTCTCTCTTTCCCTCCCTGCTTTCTTTCTTTCCTTTTTCACAACTGTGTTGAGATATAATTCACATACTGTACAATTCACTCATTTAAAATGTACAATTTAGTGTTTTTTAGTATCTTCATAGATTTGTACAACCATCACCACAGTCAAATTTAGAACATTTTCATCACCTCAAAAGCAAACCCCACTCCCTTTAGCTATCACCCCCACTCTAGCCCCCCATGCTAGGCAACTACTAATCTGCTTTATTCTTTTTATGGCTAAACAGTATTTCCTTATACAGATTGTATGTATATACCATATTTTGTTTATCCATTTATCAGTTGATAGAAATTTGGGTTGTTTCCACCTTTTGTCTATAATGAACAATACTGCTATAAACATTCCTGTAAAAGTTTTTTGTGGACATGTATTTTCATTTCCTTTGGGTGTATACCTAGGTGTGAAATTACTAGGTCATATGATAACTCCATTTTTAACTTTTTGAGCAACTGTCAGAGTTTCCAAAGCATCTACACAATTTACATTCCCACCACAGTGTAGGAGAGTTCCAATTTCTCTACATCCTCCTCGTTAACACTTACTGTTATCTGACTTTTTAATTCTAGCCCTCCTACTCACTGCCTTCAAGTTGGTTATGATTATGGCTCATAGCGACCCTTCCTTGGGTTTCTGAGGTTGTATCTCTACAGAAGTAGATTGCCCAGTCTTCCTTCCAAGTAGTGGCAGGTTGGTTTGAACCACCAGCCTTCTGTTTAGCAGTCAAATGCCTTAGGCTCTTAACCTAGCCCTCCTAGTGTGTGTGAAATGATAGCTCATTGAGGTTTTTAATTTGTATGTCTCTGAAAACTAATGATGTTAATAACTAATGATGTTTTCATGTTCTCATTGGTCATTTGCTTATCTTTATTGGAGAAATGTTTGTTCAGAATATTTGTCTATTTTTTAATTGGGTTATATATTTCCTTATATCCTAGATACAAGTCCCTTATCAGATAGGTACATGATTTGAAAATATTTGTCCCATTCTATGAGTGTTATTTCTACTTTCTTAATGGTGTCTTTTGAAGCAAAAACATTTTTAATTTTGATAATAAATTTACCTATTTTCTTTGTGTGTGTGTGTGTGTGCACGCACTTTTGGTGTTATATGTAAGAATCCATCGCAAAATCCAAGGTCATGAAGATTTACCCCTATATTTTCTTTTAAGAGTCTTATAGTTTTAGCTCTTTTATTTATATTGAATAGATTTTTGTATATAACATGTCCAACTTCATTTATTGCATGTGACTGCCATTTGTCTGAGCACCATTTGCTGAAGAGACTTTTCTTTCCTCATTGAATGGACTTGGCACCCTTGTTGAAAATCAGTTAGCCAGAACTGTATTTTTTTCTCCTGTAATTTCAATTGTATTCCATTGATCTGTATTTCTATTGTTATGCCAGTACCATACTATCTTGATTACTGTTGTTCTGTAGTAAGTTTTGAAATTAGGAAATATGAGTCTTTGTTCTTCTTTCTCAGGATTGTTTTGACTATTCTGTATCCTTTGCAATTCCAAATGAATTTTAGAATCAGGTTGCCAACTTGTAAAAAGAAGTCAATTGGAATTCTGATAGAGATCCCATTGAATCAGTCTATAGGTTAGTTTGGAGAGTATTTCCATTTTAACAATGTTAAGTCTTCTGATCCATGAACATGGAATGTTTTTCTGTTTATTTAGATTTTCTCTAATTTTTTTCAACAATGTTTGTAGTTTGCAGAATTTAAGTTTTGCTATCCTCATCATCTTTCTCATACATTATAAGTTGTTGTTGTTGTTATGTGCCATCGAGTTGGACCTGACTCATAGCCACCCCTCCTTGGGTTTCTGAGGCAGTATCACTACGTATCACTACGAAAATAGATTGCCCCATGTTGCTTCTGAGGAGTGGCTGGTGGGTTTGAACCGCCAGCCTTCTGGTTAGCAGTCAAATGCCTTAGGCACTACACTACCAGAGCCCCCATACACTATATATACTAGGCATATTGAACTATTGAGTGTTTCTTGCATCTCTTGAGATTTCTTTCTTTTTTTTTTTTTTTTAGGATTTGGGTGAAGATTTACAGAGTAAATTCACTTTTCATACAGCAGTTCACATATACTTTGTCTCATGTCATTGACCAAAATTTACAATGCAGTAGCTCCCCTCCCACTTCCTCCCCATAGTTACCTCCTCCCAGTGTCCATCCCTTCATACTCTTCTGCACCCTGAGCTATCTCCCTGTGCATAAGCAGCCCTTCCTTCTCCCATGATTGTTCTCTCCAGGGCGTGTGTCTACTTGAGGTAAATGTTTCACTCACATGCCTGTACTTTGTTTGGCTGGAAACCACAGGTGTGGGTTCAATTCCAGACCTGAAGGGCAGCTAGGGGCCATAGTCTCAGTGGTTACACCAGGCTCTATTGGACCAGCAAACCTGGTGCCCATCTTTTTTTTTTTTGCCTCCAAATGATTTTGAGTTTTGTTCCACATTGTTCTCCCTCTTTATGCAGGATCTCCTACATCCCTTCCAAGTGGATGGCAGTGGTAGCTGGGCACCATCTAGTTCTTCTGGTCTCATAGTT